AGTTCTATTAAACGCCTTAACCAGACAACTGATTGCGGGCCCAAAAAAAAGAAAAAAAAACAAAAAAAAAAAAAATTTTTTTTTTTTTTTTTTTTTTGCTTGTAATTATTATTATATTTATATTTAATGAGCGCAAAAGTAGTATTTTTATAGTCGATTACTATCACTTATCGATGCTAGGTCCTTGAGAAAATTTTATTTCAAGTAAAGATGAAATATAATTTGAAATAACTTCCACTAATTTCTGATTTTCGTTTGAAGATATAATATTAAATCTTGCGCCCAAAATTAAATAAATCATTTCCAAAGAATCGGTTACTTTCATTTTTATTCGTTGAATAACAAATAATTCCATCATAGTGTGAAGTGAAACGCAATAAAAAATTATTCGTAGAAAATAATACAAAATGAAATAAAAAGTCTATTTTTGGTAACCGAACAACGAGACAATTCAAAGAGTTAGGATAAATATTTTGTTTAAATAATCTTTCAAGAAATTTATTCTTATTGTCAGATTACTATGTATCAACAAGATGACCGATTCTCATTTACCATCGTGCAGAATTCATTTTAATAATTAATTCTCAAACAATAATTTTCACTTATTATTTCGTTTGATTTTTTTTTTTTGACTAAAAAATGAACCAATGATTTTACTTTAATTATGAAACACGTATGAACGTTCATTTGATGATCGAAATAATAGCGAAAATTGATGATACGCAGAAACTTAGAAAAAACTATGAAACAGAGTTCTGTCTTAACTATTTTCTTTCACTCATTTAAAATTTAATAAAAAATTATTTCGAATTATTTTTATTTAAATTATTTTGCATGAAAATACGAGTTTTTACAAACAATTACTATTTCGATTCACCGAACGACGAAAAGTTAACACGGTACACTCGACGATAGTTCAACAATATTTAAGTATCTCTTTTTTCTCTCTCTCTCTCTTTCTCTCTTGCGGTCAGCAATTCATGCGAGTGCCGTACATTTATCGCTCTTACAGTAATTGGTACTCGTTACTAGTGCCACTTTTTATTCTTATTCGGGGCCAACACATGAGCAAACACTTTTCACGCGTTACACCGTGAACGAAAATGCGACTAGCTTTTCCTCTGTCTTCCTTCTTTAAGCAGCGGCAATTAAGAGCGCCGATAAGAAATACCCACGGAAGCAAAGTATCTTCGTTCAGTTCATTCAGCTCGAGGGGGCTAAACGATGCAACAAGGTCGCGCGCATAAAATACAAATTGTTACCGTTGCTTTCGGCGTATTCAAATGCAAATTGGTCGTGAGGCTGGCGCAATTCACGAAATATATTTAACCGGGCAAACAGCATGTTGCCAAAGCAAATACGAGCTACACGGAGAATGATTTTAACCGAAGGAGGAATCGGGGAGGACAAAAAGAAGAAAAAAAGAAAAAAAAATAGGAACGACAAAATATCGATTATTCGAATCCGAGCCTTTTCCTTTTGAACGGAGAATTTTTTTTCGCGAACGTAAAAGTAAAAAGTACATACTAACGTGTGTATTATGCATTATGTACATATGTATTTGTTAATGTACGCACAAGTATCAATAGTAAGCACAAGTAACAAGTGAAAGTAACAAGTATTTAGCCACAAGTAACAAGTAAAACTACGAAACGAAAATTAACGTTAAAATTGCAAGAGTTAGCCAAAGAAACGACCGATAATTTCATAGACATTTATAATGTATTATACATTTCTAGAGAGTTTGCTAATTAGCAAGTGCGCGAGTAGAAGAATTTTGTTATTTATTCTATTATAAACTTTCCCCATTTCCTTTCAGTTCGATTTTTACAAATTACAAGTTTTAACCAGTCGATTAGCACTGAGATAGAATAAGTTAGAGTTGAACTTTTTAATCGCTAACTTTAAAAATGAATTACAAATTAATGCTTGTTTAAGAAAAGAAAAAAAAAAAGAAGGAATTGTAACAAAAGTGCAAGACGACAGCACAGACTGGTTTTTTTAAATTTTTTCATCAATCCCTTAACTGCCTGATTCTGTTGATATCGAAATAACTACGTTTCTGTATTTATTTCGATTGAAACTGTTACAATTTTGTAGAAAAAAAAAAAATCGTAAAATAATAAGCTCGAAGCCTTTATTTTCAATTTTAATAAAAATGTTTTTACATCACAGGTGGATTTTCTTCTCGAAAATAATAATAAATTGTCACGGTACGCAAGGACACTGAGAAATTTTTCTCACGATTGAATGTGAAAAGTGAAACTCCGGAAACTTGAAGTATGATTTCTTTTCGCCTTAGGTGACAAAAATTCAAAAAAAAATCGTAACATTCGTTTAACATTCGCCTGATATTTAAAGTCGGATGAAAAATTGGGACAAAGAAAAATTTCGTACGGCAAGTTTTGAAGTTTCAATTCTCAAATACATCGCGGATTCAACTACGAAAAAAAAATTGTTCGACTTTCTTGCTGCGATAATTTATAGGATTTATAGACAAGAAAAGTGTCTTCGCTTCGTTGCATAATGCAAAAGCATCTTGGAATAAAGTGAACGACGCATTATAGAGACTTCGAGCTCAAGCTTATTTTATAATATTATTTTTATATTATTTAATATTATTTATTATTTAATATTTTTTAATATTATTTATTATTTAATATTATTTAATATTATTTAATATTACTTATTATTTTTATAATATTATTATTTTATAATAAAATTGTAAGAACCTCAATATCAATTATAAGATCGTCCAGATATTAATTACGTCGTGACGATAATATACAAAAAAAAAAAAAAAAGAAAAATGGTTTTCATGGCACGACTGTATACGAAATACAATACAACGAGGGGTTAATTTCGAACACGTATTAATCACTGTAACGTTTTCTTTTCAGGTTCTAGAGAAACGAACGCTTAACGGCGTATCATCTGGTAATCTCGCAGGCTAAAGTGGGCTTCCTTGACCTATCCATTGTTGAAGATAATGCCTGTTTCACCATTTTAAAAGAAAATCAAGCCGTTATCGCGTCAAATACATTTTCATTAAACAGCTGTCCGATAAAGCGTCTACGAGCATAGAAGACATAAAACAATTATTTATCGTAATGTAATTCACTACTGTAACATAAAATATTGTAGCATCGGTTATTATCAGCTGTCGGTTATTATAATTAATCTGATTTTAGTTAAATTGCTTAAATATAACAGATGGCCTGTTTGTTGATCATATAAAATACGAATGTGATGTGAGATTATGTGTCCAACGTAGGCATAGCAGAGCGCATTTCTTTTTTGAAAAAAAAAAGGACCAGAGTCGTGAGAGTCGAGCGTTGAAAGAGAACTGTTAAAAAGTGTCAATTGTGTCCTTAAAAGAATTTATTTGAGTTGTTGACTCGTGTTGTTTTAAAATAATTTGTCTTGTTTAATTATTTGTTGTTCAATTATCATAATTTTCGTTAAATAAATATTATTTATATTATATCCATAAATATTACAACATATTACATTATTATATAGTATATAATATACTATATAATAATATAATATATTGTAATATTTATGGATATAATATAAATAATATAATATATATATACTATATATATTATAATATAATATTATATATATACTATATATATAATATATAATATTATATATATAGTATAGTATGGTATGGTATAGTATAGTATGGTATATATTATATATTATATATTATATATTATATATATAATATAGTGTGGTACAGTATAGTACAGTATATAGTATATATAATTATATAAATATTTACATACAATATAAATAATTTCTTTCTCAAAATACTTATATGTAAAACGTTGTTTAATTTTCCTACTCGTAGAACACGCTTCGAAGGAACTTTGATTTCTGTAATTGACGTGCGAGTACCATTTTTTTCGTCAAGTCAGTTCAGATTGTATTTACCGAATTGACCCTCAAGATATTCGATCGAAACTTGTTCAAGTTTCAGCAAGTTTCAACTTCAAATTTGCTATATCGTGCGTTACTTACATGCGAACGATTATGTCACGTTCGGAGCAGCATGCGCACACGGAAGCCGACGAAACAAACGAACGAACGAACGCGTTTACGATAAAATTACTCGCATTCGTTTGCGTTTATTATACAATTGCGTCAGTACTTGCAAAATGGGAAAATAATGCGATGTACGAAACGAGGAATACGTAAAGTATAATAATGTATTCGGCTCAACCTGTTTAATGACGATGCAATAATCTCCCGATTGGCATTATCGTCGTATTAACCTGCTGATAACGAACGAAAGCATTTAAAGAATCATTTTCAGACAATGAAAGCTACGAGACATTAAATAATTTGACTAAATAAAATGGCTCTTAAATAAAGGAGACGAGATGAAATAAATTCGAAAGAATAATTGAGGAATTACGAATTCAGCCTTCCTCGTACAGAACACTGTGCGTTTCATAATCATTTTGCAACAATAAAATCGTAGGGCTCTATTTAATGTATAAATTTCAGTATGTCGCAAGAATTGATAAAGAATGAAAATTATAAAAGCATTGTATAAAAATGTAAAAATGTAGCTTTATATTTTTCAAGAATGTGAGAAACATGTAACCGAATTTTTCGGTACGAAACGCACGTTTACAGAACAGCAGAATAAACAAATTATTACTCGATTGGATACATTTTGTATTTCTTTTAAAAAGGAAATGCGGGAATAAATTACTCAACCTGATATAAAATCACTCAAAGACTTTCAATTATTAGGAAAAATCTTTTCCTAAAGGCAACTTTTTTATTTTTTTGTTTGTAAAGAAGAAAGAAAGTTTCAGAATTAAAAGTAATTCGATCTATTTCATCTAATATTTATT